GCTGACCTGAGTTTTTCCTGTCACACGCTATAGAAGAAAACGATTTTAGAAAAACTGGCTAGCCTCGTCGATACAATCATCCACAAAACCATCTCTTTGTCTTTCAACTTCTAAATAAGTAAATTAAATTAATCTCGCCGCTCGATAGAAGTGTGTAGTGGGAGTCTAACTGAAGCATCATTGACCCACAACGTCTTAGTTCAATCCCTGCGTGACACCTTCTTTTACACCAGCTAAACTGACTGGTGCATGAAAGCATTTTAGATTCCTCCGGTCTATTCAAGCGGATGCCTCTAAGCCTACCAACGGCCCGAACGGCACTCCGGAGCACTCTTCTCAATCATCCTTGTCCCAAACGCGAGGGCGATCCACTCATTCTCGTTCTTGCACAATTCAAGAAAACTACAAATGTCGAGATAACCCGGACCAGCTGTGATGTTACCGTAACATTAAATGAACTCGGATGGGACAGACCAATACCATAATAAGTATCTAATAATGATATTAATAACAGTAAATAATCACTACGTGATGAGCATAATCGGGACGTATTCGTATATGCGAGTCTTATGGCTCTGAGTAAAAAGCTTCTTATTCAAAACTGATTCTAAAACTCACTTATACTAATAATAGCCAGAAATGTATACTTCCACGTTTCTGAATGGGTCGATAAAAGAAGACGCCGTTTTGCGACATTATAAACCGACAGACGCGAAGGCAGGAGGTAATGTTTATTAACCTTAGCCTTGTAATGTTATCCCCGCTTCATGACTTTCAACCACATCAAACGATTCTAGTGACCCAAGAAGTAAAACAATCAGTTCGCAAAGTAAAAGTGATTAGACAATTATAAAGTACCTATAATCAGTAAGTGGTGCTCAACTGACTCAGACAGTTACGAGTGGTCACTTTACCGAGTATAAGGTTCCTGCGTTGCATTAGTATCGCGGGCGTTGCATTAGGACAAAAAGAGGAGACTATGCCAGGCCAGACAATTCAGAAGGATTAACCAGTACACGACAACGTAACGAGGGCAAATGGAGAGAGAAACGCGGGGAAGGAGCTGCGGGAACAGTAAACCACAGGAAGAAGTTGAAAGGGACCGGAAAGAGAAGCGGATGAGGAAGGCCCAAGCGGCACGGGGCGGAGTGTTGGGCTTCCGCACGTTCGCCACCCACTAGTTTTTTTTTTTTGAGCGCTGTAGGCCCCGCTGCCATCGGAACGACACTTTCGCCAGGCCACCGTCCCTCACGTCATTCCCGGGGACCCCGCGCGTCCCCACGCCGCCGCCACCCACCTACTGTCCAACACTAGCGTCCTGGTCCTGTGGACACCTTCACCACCCCGCCCCTCCCG